AGGCAAAATTGCTTGCTGGGACGAGGCCCTAGGCAATCGCCTGCTCTGCCTAGTGCCAGAATTCGTGAACGCAGCATTCAGCTCTTGGATCTTTAAAACTCCATTTTACAGAGGTTGATATTGCAGCAACACGTATTCATTTTAGTTTTGTTTACGTCGCTGTCTGCTCCTCCTGACGCACCAATTCAGCACATTTTCCAGCAGAGATCATTGTGAGATCGCAAGTCGGGAGGATGACACCGCGAGTGTATTTCTTGTTGATTGCTGTTTTATCGTGTCTGTTCGGGTACTTGAGCAAAACTCACGCTATTCAAAGACGAACCACAGGTGAGAAGATCTGTTGACTTCATTACACAGCCTGAAGAAATGCAGAAATAAGTGATTCTCAGTCTTTGAAAGTAATCAACACAGTTTAGGAATTAGGTTTTAAAATGCTTTTGATTTGAAGCAGACAAATATGTAAAATTTGTATTTAGGTTTGAGATCGCGAAACCCTGATTTACAAATGCTGAAACCGCACTCCCTGGCCTCCCCTAATGATCCTCTAGTGGACGGTTTCTGTCCGGCGAGGCTGACGGTCGTGCCGTCCCATCGAGGATGTTCTTCTGATAAAGACTGCCCTGGAGGACACACATGCTGTCGATTTGACTGTGGGCCTGTTTGCGTGCTGCCTGTTTTCAGTGAGTTTCAGTTAATAATGGATGCTGAGGGTCCCAACACAGAGACAGACAGACACACACACAGACAAACACATTGAATTTTTCTTCCTTAGACGAGAATTCTTCTCGTCTAAGGTAGGTTTGAATGCATCCCTTAGGATAGTTAAGCACAGGATGACTTTACAAAATAAAGAGGCATAATACTTAGAAAATAATTCACTCTGTAGGTAACACTGGCTATTCATGCTTTTGAGTTTTTCGTATTGTATATTGAAGTGGCATACTGTCTATATGCACGAACTAAAGCTGACTATCTGTGTCCACGCAGTGAAGCCGGGTCAATGTCCCATACCGGAGATGATTCCACTGTGTGCTAAAAGCTGTTTCCATGATGGCCAGTGTCCTGCCACACAGAAATGTTGCCCAACCTCCGCTGGCTTTGCATGCAGTGAACCACATGGTCAGGGAAGAGGTCAGGCAAGTTGTCAAGAGAGCAGCCAGGGAAGCGGCCAGGGCCAGGGAAGGGGCCAGGGCAGCGGCCAGGGAAGCGGCCAGGGCCATGGAAGCAGTCAGGGAAGTAGGTAAAACTGGCTATTCATGCTTTTGAGTTTTTCGTATTGTATACTGTCTATATGCACAAACTAAAGCTGACTATCTGTGTCCACGCAGTGAAGCCGGGTCAATGTCCCATACCGGAGATGATTCCACTGTGTGCTAAAAGCTGTTTCCATGATGGCCAGTGTCCTGCCACACAGAAATGTTGCCCAACCACCGCTGGCTTTGCATGCAGTGAACCACATGGTCAGGGAAGAGGTCAGGCAAGTTGTCAAGAGCGGCCAGGATCAGGGCAGCGGTCAGGGCAGCGACCAGGACAGCGGCCAGGGCCAGGGCAGCGACCAGGACAGCGGCCAGGGCAGCGGCCAGGGCCATGGAAGCGGTCAGGGAAGCGGCCAGGGTCAGGGTAGCGGTCAGGGCAGCAGCCAGGGAAGCGGTTATGGAAGCGGTTATGGCCAGGGCAGCGGCCAGGGAAGCGGCCAGGGCCAGGGAAGTGGTCAGGGAAGTGGCCAGGGAAGCGGTTATTGTCAGGGAAGCGGCCATATATCTGGGGAGTCCATAACAGCTGCAATCTTGTTCAGTGCCAGTGGATGAGGACGCCCGTATCTATCCGTTAACGCCTCCATAGTGTCTGTATATGGGGTAGGTGAGTTCAGGAACGAGTCTGCTATCAGGCGTGCTTCCATTAATTTTAGATGATCAATTAGCACCTGATATTTGAACAGCTCAGTTGTGTCTTCTGGCAACAAGTTGCTCAAGGCTAACTTTAAGCGGGTAAATTCACCTGGATCTCGATGGATGAAATCAGGTATGGTTGGCTGTGGGCCCCTGTAGGTTACCTCCTGTCTGGTTACACTTGTCTGCATCTCCCTGGGGTTGGCTGGTGACCCATGAGTTTGGGAACGAGAGGAAACAGCAGGCATCAAAGGAGTGGAGGAAGGAACATGAGTAGCAAAGCTGTCAGGGTAATAACTTTGGGCAGGTGGCGGAGAAAGGTGAGCTTCAATATCGTTGATACGTTGCCCCTGTGGTCTGTTATATTGGTAAGACCAGCAGACCTCTAAAAACTCGCATCTCTGAACATCGATGTGCAATCAGACATCGCGATTCAAAAAGTCCGGTAGCACAGCACTTTGCAGATTCAAGACACTCAGTTTCCACTCTTCAGTACATAGGTATTGAAGTAGTGAAGTGTTCGCGTCGCGGAGGTGATATCAACAAATTGCTTTTACAGCGTGAAGCCTTTTGGATATATACATTAGACACGTTGTCCCCTAGAGGATTAAATGAGGATTTTGATATTCGTCCATTTCTTTAAACATAAGATATCTATCTACATATAATAAATAACGCTTTGTGGTTATTGATTTGTATTTATGTACCCAGGCAGGCATCAATTAATGTCATTAAACAATATTTTGAGAATTACATTTGTGTATTTTGCATAGCTTTATATATGTTTTTGATTTATTTTGATTTTTGGTTTCTATGTTTTTCTCCTTGGTTGATATGTTATTGTTTTGGTATTATTATTAGCACGATAATATTGTATGGTCATGTGACCTTTGATCACCTGGAGGTAGGCCTATAAAG